GCCCAGGAGTTGGAGGTTGCTGTGAGCTGTGATGCCACAGCACTCTACCCAGGGGAATAGCTTGAGGCTCTGTCTCAAAATAAATAAATAAATAAATAAAAAATAGAAAAAATTAGTTGGACGGGGTGGTACACACCTATAGTCCTAGCTATTCAAAAGGTTGAGGCAGGAGGACCACTTGAGCCCAGGAGTTCAGATACTACACAATAGCCAGTGCAACAGAATGAGACTCGGTCTAAAAAAAGAAAAAAGGCAAAGTAATATAAAATACAGTCATCAGTACTCAAAAAGTTCAGAAAGTTGATAAATCAGGACAAAGCACTAATGTGGGTTTGGGAGGAATAAGATAGAATTATCTAGTAGAATACAATCTTAGGAAGCATACAGATAGTATATTGTAAAAATAAGTATTCATTTATTACAAACAAATTTCAGAGAAACATGCTGGTTAAAATATGGCTAATTTTTGACAATTAAGCTTTCAGCAAAAAATGTGAGTAAGAAGAAGATTAGTTAACAAGTAGTATTATACCCACTCCATTAATGAGACCACTAGTTATGTTGGAAGATACAATGGTAGCTTTAAGGACTTTAGATATAGCTCTAGGTTGATGGCATGATTTGCCTTTCATGTTTTACTGATTTCCAACTTTAAAAGTATAAGCACAGAGGACAATATTTTGTACTTTGAATAACATGCACATTCTAGGAAAATTCTTTTTTAATATAGTCTGTGGAATCTTCCTTTCTGATTTTATGCAAATAATTTTATTTTTATATTATTGTTATAAAAGTTTGTATTATTAACTGTTAAAACCAGTGATTTTCAACTGGTGTGCCAGGAGAGGATCTTAGGTGTGCTGAGAAAATGTTTTATAGATCATTAAAACATTAAATTATTTTCGAAAGAAGTTCAAAACACAGTAAGTATATTCTTTTCTTTGCTCTTTTTTTTAATCAACATAATTTAAGTGTGCCATGGAAGTTTAACTATAGATTCAGGTGTGCCGTGAGATAAAAAAGGTTGAAAAGCACTGGTTTAAACCCTTAATACCAAATTATCCTCAAATTTTTCTAAAGAAAAGATACCCATCCAATTTTTTCAACATTGGATCTTTGGTCACTTTTCTGAAAAATGGTAGAGTTTAAGTTTAATTAATACTGAAATTTTTTTATGTGCAAAATCTATTCTGCTTTTTAAAGCAAATAAAAAGAATAAAAGTATGGCACCATTCCAATAATCAAATGCCAATAAAAATGGCAGCAGTAAAAACATCTAAACAAACCTTAAATGCAGCAATTTATAATTAGAACATAATGCAATGATTTGATTTTAGCAAGAAGAATAAGCTTAATTTGGGTAAAAGAAACCAAATACTGCATTATATTGGATACTAACCTAAGTAACCATTAATTAATATTACAAATTCTCCAAATGCATAAAGACCTTTTGAACAGCTAAATTTAAGCTGCATTTTTTAAATTAAATGCCTATTCAACAAAGCTAATTGGAACAAACACATTTATGCAAATTTACATTGTAGAAGGCCAGAGTAAAGAGGAGTTCTATTCTTTTTCTTCATCTGTGTGATCAGGTTGCAAAGGACATGCTCTGTGGAAAGAATTGAGAACTTTAATATTCAGCAGTATGAACTGTTTTTTAAAAAACTTATAAAAAGTTACAAATTTATATAAATCAGGAACATTAAATAACAGTGCAGTGACTAGAAATTGGAGAAAATTAAGTTATATTAATTTTAAAATACCTATAAATTTCAAGTACTAGTACAAGAAAAAAAAATTTTTTTTTCGTCTGCAGTTTTTGGCTGGAGCCAGGTTTGAACTCACCACCTCCAGTATATGGGGCCAGCGCCCTACTCCTTTAAGCCACAGGCGCCACCAGTACAAGAAAATTTTTAACAATTCACTTGGCCTATTAATTTGCAGAATCAGAGTTTCTCCTTTTCAACATGTTGGCATTTTTTTTTTTTTTGAGATAAGAGCCTTAAGCTGTCACCCTGGGTAAAGTGACATGGGGTCATAGCTCACAGCAACCTCTAATTCTTGGGCTCAAGTGATTCTCTTGCCTCAGCCTCCCAAGTAGCTAGACCATAGGTGCCTGTTGTAATGTCTAGCTGTTTTAGAGATGGGGGTCTCTCTAGCTCAGGCCGCTCTCAAATTCATGAGCTCAGGCAACCCACCCACCTCAACATGTTGGCATTTTTTATTAAAAATGGAACCTCTATACTATCTTCTTTCAACATGTTAAATGTATTGATATAGTTTAATCCTTCAATTAAGAGCTAAGCAAACAAATTAACCAATCCACTTGAGCAGAGAAAACATAGCAAGTTGTTGTATTTCACTGTATACTCTTTTGAACCATAAGAATATATTACCTGGGCTCGGCACCTGTAGCTCAAGTGGCTAAGGCGCCAGCCACATACAACAGAGCTGTCGGGTTCGAATTCAGCCTGGGCCTGCTAAACAACAGTAAGAACTACAACCAAAAAATAGCTGGACATTGTGGCAGGCGCCTATAGTCCCAGCTACTTGGGAGGCTGAAGCAAGAGAATTGCTTAGGCCCAGGAGTTGGAGGTTGCTGTGAGCTGTGATGCTAAGGGGCTCTACAGAGCCTGAGGTTCTGTCTCAAAAAAAAAAAAAAGGAATGTATTACCTGGCAGGGCACAGTGGCTCACACCTATAATCCTAGCACTCTATGAGGCTGGAGTGGGTAGATTGTTTGACCTCAGGAGTTGGAGACCAGCCTGAGCCAAAGCAAGACCCGTCTCTAAAAATAGCCAGGCATTGTGTCTAGTACTTGTAGTCCCAGCTACTTGGGAGGCTGAGACAAGAGGATTGCTTACACCCAAGAGGTTTGAGGTTGCTGTGAGCTACAACGCCCCAGCACTCTGAGAGGAACACAATAAGACTCTGTCAAAAAAAAGAAAGTATTACCTAATTAGAAAACCCCCAAAATTGTTTTAGTATATGGTAGTTTTCGAAAAATAATTTACACTATCCCAAAGCCATTCTGTATTCATTACACTTCTTTATTTTTCTTTTTTTTTTTGAGATGGAGTCTCCAGCTGTCGCCCTGGGTAGAGTGCCATGGTGTCATAGCTCACAACAACCTCCAACTCTTGGGCTCAAGAGATCCTCTTGCCTCAGTTTTTCTACTTTAAGTAGAGATGGGTCTCACTTTTTTGCTCAGGCTGGTCTTGAACCCATGAACTCAAGCTATCCAGCCACCTTGGCCTCCCATACTGCTAGGATTACGAGCAGGAGCCACTGCACCTGGCCAACACTTTTTTTTTTTTTTTTTGAGACAGAGTCTCACTATGTTACCCTTAGTAGAGTGCTGTAGTGTCACAGCTCACAGCAACCTCAAACTCTTGGGCTTAAGTGATTTTCTTGCCTCAGCCTCCCAAGTAGCTGGGACTACAGGCACCCACCAAAACGCCTGGTTAATTTTTTTTTTAGTACTTGTTGTTTGGCAGGACCTGGTCAGCTTTGAACCCACCAGCTCCACTGCATGTGGTTGGCAACCTATCTGCTGAGCTACAGGTGCCTAACCCTTTTTTTTTTTTTTTTTGAGACAGAGCCTCACTTTGTCACCCTCTGCAGAGTACCATGGCATCATAGCAACCTCAAATCTTGGGCTCAAGCAATTCTCTTGCCTCAGCCTTCGGAGTAGCTGGGACTACAGGCATCCACCACAATGCCTTGCTATTTTTAGAGACGAGGTCTCGCTCTAGCTTAGGCTGGTCTTGAACTCATGAGCTTGGGTGATCTGCCCACCTTGACCTCCCTGAGTGCTGTGATTACAGGAGTGAACCACTGCATCCTGTCTTCATTACACTTCTTACAGAGAAAAAAATAAATCAATCAGAAATTTAATCATAAATCACATTTTTTTCTAAAATTCATGAAGATTTGTGAAATCTACTGTAAAATCTATAGTTTCCAAATTAGATCCAGTAGGCTTGAATAGTCATAGACCTAGGTAGTGAAGAAAAAAATCTAAAATGAAAGTAATCACACTTTGGATAAGATTTTCATTGATTTACTTACTATTAGATTATAGAGAGGTCTTCATTATATTTTTCTTTCTTTTTTTTTTTTCTTTTGAGACAGGGTCTCATTATGTCACCCTTAGTAGAGTGCTGTGGCTTCACAGCTCACAGCAACCTCAAACTCTTGGGCTTAAGTGATTCTCTTGCCTCAGCCTCCCAAGTAGCTGGGACTACAGGTGCCTGCCACAATGCCGGGCTACTTTTTGTTGCTATTTTATTGTTGTTTAGCTGGCCTGGGCCGGGTTCAAATCCAACAGCCTCACACGGTGTATGTGGCTGGCACCATAACCTCTGTGCTACAGGCTCCAAGCCATTCATTATATTTTTCTTATTTTTTTTTTTTGACACAAGAGTCTCACTTTGTTGCCCTTGGTAGAGTACCATGGCTCATAGCTCAAACTCCTGGGCTTAAGCCATTCTCTTGTCTCAGCCTCCTGAGCAGCTAGGACAATAGGTGCCCACCATAACGCCTAGCTATTTTTTTTGTAGAGACAGGGTCTCAGGCTGGTCTTGAATCTCTGAGCTCAGGCAATCCATCCACCTCGGCCTCCCAAGTGCTGGGATTACATACGTGAGCCACTGAGCCCGGCCCCAAAACATCAATTTTTAAGTTATAAAATTTGTTCAACACATGCTGAGATAAAAGGTGTTGCTTTAAGATTATTTTATATTAATGCACTTCTAGTGTTTGGACTCATATATGGTAGCTAAATGAATCTGGCACTCCTCTTAGATAGGAATGTGTGATGGAAAAGCTTATCACTTCACTTTTAAGTGTATATGCAAGTATCACTCATTCTTGGATTTGGAGCAGATTTCCAATCGTCAATTACTACCTAGAAAGTCAAATGCAATGTCAAATCCAAAGCCCCAGAGGCAGTAGTTAAGTGCCAAACAGTCAAAGCTTAACAATGTAAAACTACAGTATATCAGCATTAAATTAGGACTGCCGAAAAAATACACAGAGGATTTATAGTAACACCTGGCAATTCCTTCCAATGTACACATAAATAGAATCATGGAAGTTTTTTATATTACCTAATCATTTTACAGCCTTCTGGATTTAATGAACCAAAATGAAAACTGAATCTCCATCCCACAGCTCATCCTTTATCTCTAGATCAAGGTGAAATTATTATTTTTAAGCCAGATTTAATGAAATCATTAACTGATTTTTGATGTTGTCTTTTTTCTTAGTCTTGCACACGAAGTTCCAGCAGGTTTAATATTGGCATTTGTCATCTAGTCAAATCCTTCAGATGCTCTTTAAACCAGTCTAATTTGGGACTTGCAAGATTTTCTGTGTTAACAGAATAAGGACTGGAATTAGAAGACTTGATGAAGACCTGGGTTTTTTCCTTGTCACACTAGACTTCTAGGCACCATTTGAATTGAGTTAAAGAATTGTAGCTATTTCTTGGCCTTAGTCTCTTAATAGTAGAGATTTAGCAAGGCAAGCAAAACCACAAGGAGACTGGCTGTAGGCTATAGAGCGCTGTTGGAGGGTTTTGTAGTCTCAGAATTTATAGGTTCTGGTGTGCTGGTTAAAGGTACCAATGAATAAACTTCCATGGGTAGCACCAGTACCAGAAGTAGCAGCCCTAGACTGAGCCTGGCTACCATCCCCTTACCCATGTGGGTCAGAGTGGCAAGGATCCAGCTTTGCTTGGTGTGCTGGAGACTCTTGGGCTTCTGGCTGATGAAGAGAAGATAGCAAGCAGTACCTTATATTCAAAGAGCATCACAATGGCAGTGACATGGCACTACCCTCTCCCCTCACACATCCAGTCAAATACTTCATTTTTTCAAGTAAAACATTTAGAAGTTGTTTAGAGAACCTGGACCTCACTACATAAAAAAGCAGGTTTTAAATCTTTTTTTTCCTAAGTAGCATTATTTTTTTCCTAATACATAAAAGTGATGTTTTTTGTTAAAAGTTGGTAGCATAGAGTATGAGAAGAGGTTTTTACCCAGAGATACACAGATAAGCATTACTGATATCTGGTATATTTTTGTATAGTACATATACATGTTGGGGGGGTTGTTGTTTTTTGAGATATAGTCTCACTTTTCACCTGGGCTGGAGGGCAGTGGAGTCATACCTCACTGCAACCTCAAACTCCTAAGCTCAAGTGATGCTCCTGCCTCAGCTTCCCAAGTAATGGGGACTGTAAGTAGCAGGGACTATAGGTGCACAACAGCACACCTGGGTACTTTTTCCATTTTTTATAGAGATGGGGTCTCACTCTTGCTTAGGCTGGTCTCAAACTTCTGGCCTCAAGCAATACTCCTCACTCGGCCTCCCAAAGTGTTAGGATTTCAGTTATGAGCCACCGCTCAGCAGATGTGTTTTATACTATAAAGATTATACTTTTGGATTCAGAATTGTTGTTTAACATTTATTATGAGCATGTTCTCGTCATTAAAAGCATAATGTAATTTGCTTTTGACAAAGTTTGCCCACTGAACTCTGTGTATAGTTTTATCCCAACTTTGTTTTGTTATTAAGTATTCTTACATATTTATAGAGATACTGTAAAGAAAACACACCATGTTGTTAGCCTTGGTTGTTTTTAGATAATGGAACTTTCTGTATTTTCCATCTTTTCTATATTTGTATATATTTCTTATGGCAGCTGAACTAGAAGTTTTTTGAGCCACAGGATTGTAACCTCAATTTAACTTCGAGTGCCATTGACTTATGTTTGAAGAAGCTTTCTCAGAGTCCACATGAAGGGATGTTCCTTTAAAGACCTCTGAACTGATTAGAAAGCTAATCATGCAGGAGGCAGACCCTGAAAGCAGAGTCTGGCTGTCTCTGGAATTTCCTGGAAGGGACCTTGGGAGCGGAGAAACAAGGTAAGTTAATGTGCATTTCAGTTAAAGGTTGGACCTGTTTTTTACAGATGAACGGCTGAATAGTTTTTATTCTCTGTATGGTTTCTTTGTATTTGTATCTGTCGCCAGCTGGTTTCCTACTATCAAAGTGTATGTGCAGAACTTAGTGTTATTAAGAGTATATAAGCTTGGCTCGGCGCCTGTGGCTCAAGTGGCTGAGGCACTAGCCACATACACCTAAGTTGGTGGGTTCGAATCCAACCCAAGCCTGCCAAACAACAATGACGGTTGCAACCAAAAAATAGCCGGGTGTTGTAATGGGCGCCTGTGGTCCCAGCTACTTGGGAGGCTTAGGCAGGAGACTCTCTTAAGCCCAGGAGTTGGAGGTGTGATGCCACAGTACTCTACCCAGGGGGAAGCTTGCAAGAAAAAGTTAGGTTGCTACATGCCTGAGAGAGCTGTAGCCCTCCACTTCTTTGCACATTCTGACTGCCGGTCTTATCTCTGTGACTCTGGCCCAAACCATTTCCAGCAACACAGGATTAATTGAATTCAGGCTAGATAAATCAACATGGAAATTGCCTTTTAAGAAAAGACTAGGTTGGGATGGCGCCTGTGGCTCAAAGGAGTAGGGCACCGGCCCCATATGCCGGAGGTGGCAGGTTCAAACCCAGCCCCGGCCAAAAACTACAAAAAAAGAAAAAAAGAAAGAAAAAAAAAAGACTAGGCTTTGGCACCTGTAGCTCAACCAGTTAGGGCACCAGCCACATACACCAAAGCTGGTAGGGTCGAATCCAGCCTGGATCTGTCAAACAACAGTGACAACTGCAACCACAAAATAGCCAGGCATTGTGCCGGGCGCCTTTAGTCCCAGCTACTTGGGAGGCTGAGGCAAGAGAATTGCTTAAGCCCAAGAGTTGGAGGTTGCTGTGAGCTGTGACGCCACAGCACTCTACCCAGGGTGACAGCTTGAGACTCTGTCACAAAAAAAAAGAGAGAGAATAAAAGAAAAGATTAAAAAAAAGGACAATAAAAATTAAAGAATAGGGGCAGTGTTTGTGGCTCAGTGGGTAGGGCGCCAGCCCCATAAACCAAGGATGGAGGATTTGAACCTGGTCCCCAGCTGAACTGCAACAAAAAATAGCCAGGCGTTGTGGCAGGCGCCTATAGTCCCAGCTACTCAGGAGGCTAAGGCAAGAGAATCTCCTAAACTCGGTAGTTGGAGGTTGCTGTGAGCTGTGTGACACCACAGCACTCTATTCTCGGTAGAGGGCAATAGAGTGAACTCTGTCTCTAAAAAAAAAAAATTCAAGAATAGGCTCCGCACCCATAGTTCAGTGGTTAGGGCATTGGCCACATGCACCAGGGCTGGCAGGTTCGAACCCAGACAGGGCCTGCTAAGCAACAATAACAACAACAGCAACAACAACAAAAATAGCCCAGCATTGTGGCAGGCGCTTGTAGTCCCAGCTACTTGGGAGACTGAAGCAAGAGAGTCACTTGAGCCCAAGAGTTTGAGGTTGCTATGAGTTGTGACACCACAGCATTCTTCTGAGGATGACATAATGAGATCCTGTCTCAAAAGAATTCAATAATAAATACGGGAAGTTCATAGTTAATAACATAGCGCTTAGTTTTATATGAATCGGAACTGATCTTCTTTTAGTGAATGGAATGAGTGAAAATAATATCTTTTACTACTATTATTTGAAATTTGGGTGACTTACAATAAGAAATTAGTACAAATTGTAAAAACTTTCAGCTTATATTTTCTTGTCAATTAAGATAGATAAATTATAAAGTTACTCACTATCCTATTTGTACTTTATTTTCAAGAAGATAAAATCTTCTTTATATTCCAGCATATAAAAACTTACTTTCTCTTTGCTTTTCCTAAGCCACTGCTTCCTGCCTCTTCAGGAATCTGATTCTCTTTTCCAGAATCTTTAGAGGACAGCCTGAAGAATTCTCCAATTCCTTTTTGCCACTTGGGAGTTGGGCGTACACAAACTGGATTCCCTCCTGTGTACTTATTTTCAGCTATAAATATAAGCAGATGAAACTAAGAATACAATCACCATTCCTTAAACAACTTAATTCAAACGTCAAATTCTCAAAGGTATTACCTGTGGGTCGTGGCCCCTTTTTATACAATGAAAATACATGGTGGCATTAGGAAGGTTGAGAACCACTGCTTTAAGACATAGTAAAGAATTAGAAAATGTGTCAAAGGCTGGGCAATGTAGCTCACGTCTGTAATCTTAGTTCTCTGGGAGGCCGACATGGGTAGATTGCCTGAGCTCAGGAGTTCAAGACCAACCTAAGGGAAAAGCGACACTTTGCCTCTAAAAATAGCCAGGTGTTGTAGCAGCCCCTTGTAGTCCCAGCTACTCAGGAGGCTGAGGCAAGAGAATTGCTTAAGCCAAGAGTTTGAGGTTGCTATAAGCTATAACGCCATGGTACTCTACCCAGGGTGACAGAGTGAGACTCTGGCTAAAAAAAAAAAAAAAAGTGTAAAGATAAAGCTGTAGTTCATCAATAAATTTCAGTTTGATAGTTTTTCTAGAAAAATAGCAATAACAGACCTTTTATAACCAGAAAATATCTTTCATATTTTGTCCCCAAATAAAGCTATTTAAATAGTCTTAATATGTACTGTCATACTAAAGTTTGACAGTTTTTCCTAATATGAGATAGCACCAAGTAGTAAAAACTGCCAAAATTTTACTTAATAAGGTCATGTAGTTAAAACACACATAAGAGGCAATGTAGGCCGGTTGGTTGCACGTTGGGAACCCGAAGCTGTAGGACTGCTTCAGCCCAAAGGAGAAGATCAGCTTTAGCAAGAGTAAGGCCTCATTTCTACAAAATAAAAAAGGAAGAAAGAAAGAAAAATGAGCAGGGCATGATGGTGAGGGCCTATATTCCCACCTACTTGGGAGGCTGAGGCAGAGGGTCACTTGAGGCACTGGAGCCCAGGAGTTTGAGGTTGTAGTGAGCTATGTTTATGCCTCTGCACTCTAGCACCAGTGACAGAGCAAGACCCAAACCCCACCCCCCCCAAAAAAAGGTAATGTAAAAGTTCTCACTTCTCAAAGCACTTACCTCCTTTTCAGTTCATAAGAGAAATCTAATTCCTGATTTTTTTTTTTTTTTTTTTTTTTTTAGAGACAGAGTCTTACTTTGTCGCCCTTGGTAGAGTGTTGTGGCCTCACAGCTCACAATAACCTCTCACTTCTGGGCTTAGGTGAT